ACGGGTGGCAGGCGCTGCCGCTCAGGCCTCTCTCGGGTAGCTCCTCTCAGAGGCCCGTTTGGGAAGGCCGGGTTTCAAAGTGGGTCCCAAAGCCCATCTTGAGGCATAAAAAGGCGGATTTCCTGAGCCTGGGTGGGCTGTTCTCTTGGGACCCTCCATCATCTGCAAGGACTGCGAAGTACTTAAAGAACTGGGGGACGAAGGGGAGGGTTGGGCAAAAGATGCACTGGCAGGGAGGCTCCCAGGAGCAGGGATTCAAACGGAGGAGGCCGAGGCGCACTGAAGGCCGTCCTGGCAGCGTCCGGCGTCCTCCATCCATCCGTGAGCGGTTTCCCAGATGCTGGAATTCCAGGCAGCTGTGGAGTTTCCAGCTGCGGTTTATAACCTCTGACAGATGCCTGGGAAGGTGGGGGGGGGGCCATGGCCGGGCTCTCACTGGCAGCCGAGTCTCCCTCCATTTAACAGCTCTGACTTGACCCGGCCGTTGCCCCGCCAGTAACTTATTAGTCGCCCGTGAGTCACGTCGCCCAGCTCAGCCAAGTGGGTTGCTGGAGACCTTTGCATGGAAAAAAAATCCCAAGGCTTCTTCTCAGCCAGAGGAGGATTGCTCTGTCTGGCAAACCAGTTGCGTGGTGGTGGTGGTGGTGGGTGCCCTGCGCCCGTTCAGATCCTCCGGCTCTCCTGCGTTGCCTGCGCCAGCTTTGGTAACCGGCCGGGGTGCCTGCTTGCTTTCTGCGCAACAGTGAAAACGCCCACCCTCTTTGTCCCCTAGGTTTCCCCCTAGGTATGTTGGGGGGAGGTGGGGGACCCAACCTTTGGGGTTCAACCTGTGGGTATTGTTTCATTATAAAATCACTCTGGATGGAAAGGAGCCGGAGTCATTTCTTGGGAGCACCTTCGGTCCAGGAAGGGGCCTTTCCTTTCTCTCCCATCATCCCCTGCCCCGAGGAGAGCCGGGGGGGGGCAGCCTGGCCTCCCTCATCGCCTCCAGGCCCGCCGGAGAGCGCTTCCCCTCGCTGGCAGTTCGCAAGGCAAGGCGAGGCTGGAGTGGAAACGCAAGGCCTTCCACAAGGGGTTTGGGCTGCCGTCCTGGCGAGAGATGCCGAAGAGCACTGCCCCCCCCACACACATGAGCCCAGCCCTTGAGCTCTCCCTGACAGCGGGGGCTCCCTGCACTCGCCGCTGTCTGGGACCGGAAGAGGCAATTCTCGGAGCGCTGGCACCCAGCAGCTGGGGGGGAGGAAAGGTCTGAGGAGACCTTTGGTGTTTTGGAAGTCCTTGCAGTGGAGGGAAGTCTGTGGGCAGAGGCAAACCTGTTCCCCAGGATCTCCCACCGGAAGCGCTGGGGCCGTGCCCCGACCGGGACCTCAAGAGACCTGCCTGCATGGCACGGCCCCCCGGGAGGAACAAATGAGCTTCCCGGGAAGGTGAAAAGCTCCAACCCAAAACCCAAACCTTAGGAGTGGATGTAGGAGAAGCAAACGAGCCGGGCCCTTGGTGGCTCCCTGGCCGTGACTGGGTGGGTGTCGGGGGTGTGTGTGTTTCGCTCTGCCCCCTCCTCCAGGCCAAGCCCCTGCCATATCTCTCGGGAGGGTGAAAACGTTAGAGGTCGGGGGGGGAGCTGTCTGGTCTGCTTCCTCGTCCGTTGTACTCTGCCTATGCAGCAGAGTGCCTGGACCACTTCTGCCTCTGCAGAGGATGATGGCGGCGAGGATGTTCCGAGCACTTCGCCCAGAGTGTCGGTAGAAGACCTCGTCCGGCGTGGACTCAAGGGCAGCTTCTTGTTCTGCCTCTCTCCACAGAGCTCAAAGCCCAGACTCCAAGCCGCCTGTTCATCAATCCAAGAAATCAGACGGTGCACCAGCCTGGAGATGCCAGACAACGCGCACACCTTTGTGCTGAAGGTAAGCAGGCCCGGCTGCCTCTTCCTTTTTGGGCGAGGGGAGGCCTTGTCTGCTGCAGGGGCCGGGGCCCTTTTTGGGGGGGCCTGTCCCTATGGCAAGGGGGGCGGGGGTGCCCCTTGTTCTAAATGGCCCTGTTGAGGAGCCGTGCTTGACAGGGACGAGGGCAGAGGAAGAAAAAGGAGACCTTGCCTGTTAGGGGAGAGAGCTTGAAAAGGTTACCTTTTTTTTTGAACTGCACAGCTTGCTGGAAGGTGCAGTCCAAGAGAGCAGCTTAGTCAGATCATGGTCTTCTGTGACTGGCATCAGCTTGCCGAGCCCTTCCTATACGATTCCAGCCAGGAGGTGGAGCCTGGGGTTCTCCAAGGGGGGGGGGGGGGGGGGGGGGAGAGCGGCCTGCGCGGGAGAGCCTGTCGTCCAGGGAGCTGGCACCAGGCGAGGAAATTCCCAGAGGCTTCGGAGAAGCTCCCGGAGGAAATGACGTGGCGTCTGAGACTCCACACAGAAACCTTTCCTGTTCTTCAGATGTGAAACTGAGTCAGATGGGGGCCGGGAAGAATGAGCTAGTTGTGCCTCTACCTACAGCAAAGTTGTTCATGTCTTTCTCTCCCCACGCCCACCCCCCTGGTAGGTAAATGCCTCCACCGACATTATATTCGAGGCTGGGGATGACCAGCAGCTGTCTTCCTGGATGTCTGAAATTAAAGAATGCCTCCCTCAAGGGTAAGTCTTGAACGGGGGTGCGTGGCCTTGCCAAAGCGGGACAGCGACACACCCTCCCCTCTGACACCGCGGAAATCCCCGCAGCCGGGAGGCCATCTCTGGCGGTGGGTCAGGGGACCGAACAGCCCTACACGGCGAGGGTGTCTTCCCTCCTGTGCCAGGCAGGCGGGCGCCAGAGAGGGGTTGCAGGCTTCCGAGGTCCCTGGGTCTCTTCCTCAGGCCCAAAGGGTGGATGGGCCGGCAAGACACAGCTAGTGATGCCAGACTTTGTGTGGCCACCATTTGGTGTGTAGGTGCAGTTGGGGGTGGGGAGCTTTTGATTCCTCCTCCCTCCTGAAGCAGGGCCATCATACGAGGCTTCCTACCCTATTTGTTGAATATTGCAGAGTATCATCCATTTATTGATTTAAAGATACTGTATATGTCAGATCATCTCTGTGGACTCTCATCTGGGAAACACCTTGTACTTCTGCTCCGCCGGGCCCGTGATCTTGCACGCCTCTGCGGCCCGTTTTCGGCTTGACTGCTGAGTCACCCCCCCACCCTCACCCCCAAGGGCCTTTTTTGGCCTCCTCTCCCATCCTCATTCTTTCTGATTCCCCATCCGCCCTGCCACCTGCTTCACCCTGTTCCAAGGCCTCTGCCTGACAGCACCCTCGTGAGAACGGCATCTCTCTCTCTCTTCCAGGTCCACAGGAGCCGACCCGGACCTGGCCCCCGACTCCCTCTCGGAGGTCACGACGGCCAGCCCCACCACCACCACCAGCAGCAGCAGCGTGGATTCCCGGAACCAAGGTAGGTGCCAAACCGTTGGCAGCTCCTTGGGATGGGGCTGGGGCGGAAAGGCCAGGGAGCGGCTGCCGGTGCCGCTGGCCCCTGCCTTTTTGAGCCACGAGTGCGAAAGGGTCCTGCTCGCTTGGGATCTCGGTCCGCCAAATGTGAATCAACACAGCGGCCCCGAATCTGCCCTTTGGGTCCAGAGATTGAAAAGGCGAGCTGAGCCCCACGTCCCCCCCCCTTTGCCCCTTTTCTTACCTCTCCCAGGCGCGACGCCCCCGAACGCCCCCGACCAGCCCTGCCAAAAGACGGACCGCTACCTTTCCGCTTTCCCCTGGTTCCACGGACCCATTTCTCGCTTCAAGGCCGCCCAGCTGGTCCAGTTCCAGGGCCCCGAAGGGCACGGAGTCTTCCTCATCCGACAGAGCGAGACCCGGAGGGGAGAATATGTCCTCACGTTCAATTTCCAAGGAGTAGCTAAGGTAAGGCCCCGGTCTCCTCAACAGCCTTTGTGGATAACATGCTAGGGCAGAGACCTGCGTACACCCTGGACGCACGCCTGGACTTTGGGGTAAAATCTTGAGCAACGCTGGCCTCTCCACACCGCCCACCTTCCGCTCTGCCTTTAAACAGCGTGGCTGCTTTTTAAAAATGTGTGTGTGGCAATGTACTTTTTACTCATTCAGCAAGCCGCCCAGGTTAGGATCAGCAAAAGAAATGCTGGTTCCCCCCTCCCCCAGATTTTGGAAGTTTGGGGTCATGCTTCTAGTCCTCATTGCTTGAACTGGATGTGTAATCTCCCATGAGCTGGGATGCCAGAAAGTGGGGATTGTTCATATCGAGATGAAATCTGGGCACGCAGTGGCTGTTTCTGCTCCTCATGCTCATGACTGTCAACAGAGAGATGAAAGAAAAGGTGCTCGGTTGTTAACACCCCCACCCCCCTTTTTCCACACTTGATCTCGGCAGCACCTGCGGCTTTCGCTGACCGAGAGGGGCCAGTGTCGGATCCAGCATTTGCACTTCTCCTCGATCCTGGATATGCTACACCATTTCCAGCGCTGCCCGATTCCCCTGGAGTGTGGCGCTGCCTGCAACGTGCAGCTGTCCAGCTACGTGGTGGTTGTCCCAAACGCCCAAGGTAAGAGAGTCTCTGCGATGCTGTGCTTGCGCTCCCCAAAGTCTCATGCGACTCGGTGGGGGGGGGACACTCGGTTCTCCCCGTCCCCTTTCTGCAGAAACGTTGCCCGGGGTCTGGGTACTTTTGGGCGAGAAGCGGCAAAAGTCAGGTGGCAGGAGTGGACCCTCCCCGGGCTTCAACGTGCGGGGGTGGGGGGAGGCCGATCCTGGATCTAACCCCCTGGTATTTGTGTGTGTGATGGCACAAAAACATGTAGTCCATTTTAGAATTCAAATAAGTACATCAAGAAATCAAATAGCTGGAAATCTCTCTGTTGCTGGGTTTCTGTAGGCATTAAAGGAAAAAGGAAGGTTGTGGGACTTTTTAATCTTCCTCCTGTAACCCGGTGGGGAAAATATTCTCTCCGTCGAGGAAGGCGGCTACGCTGGCCTGCTGAACGGGGTCAAGCTGAACTCGGTGGGAGCCCAGGCATGTCTTCCGTGTGGAAGCAAAACACACCCTGACAGAAGCTTGCTGTTTTTGGCTTGGCCTACTCCACGGCAAGTTGCTTCAAAGGCCTGGGAGGGGAAGAGGGAGCAGGTTCTCGATTCCCTCTTTTTTTGGGGGGGGGGGCATCTGTCGTGGCTGGAGACGGAAACTTTGGGAAAACCCGACAGAAGTATGACCTTCGTCCCTACCGATAACGCAGCTGGTCTTTGGGAACGAAGAGGTGATGCAGAACCCAGGTTGGAGAAGAGAAGACGCGGATGTGTTTTTTTTCCCATCCGACCTGCTTCAGCACATCCCTGGGAGGGCCCGCTTACGCGTAGAGCCCGGCCTGGCCACACAGTCGTCAGTCTCTCTGTCTCCCTCTCTCTCTCATGCACCGTATTTGTTTTCCTTCCCCGCCAACAGCAGGCTCGACCAACACGGCACCTTTCCCCCCCGCCATCCACCGCTACAACCCGGAGTTCGGCCTCCTCCAGCTCACGCCCTCCAGCTTCGCCCGGATCCGCCTCCCGGACCATCCTCACCGCCACCACAACTCCTCCGTGGAGCAGATCTTCCACTTGGTGCCCCCTCCGGAAGAGCTGGCCGGCAGCCTGTGGCCCCACAGAGGCCGGCCCGCCTCCCACCACCCCTTGCCGGCCCCCCGGCCCTGGGACGGCGATTACGAGACGGACTCCCACGGGAGGGGGCACCTGCGGGCGGTCAACAACCAGTACCTGTCCCTTTGACCCAGTGCGGCGGGGGCCCCCCCACCCTGCTTTTGCCCGAGACTCTTCCTCAAAGGACATCTTCCTCTCTCTTGGCAACGTTGAATATTTGGTTTGTAAGATAAGACGGATCGCTCCCGTCGCTGCGGCTGCAGCTCTTGATTTAGGCCTGTTGAAGGGCCCGTTTGTTCCTTTTTATTATTATTTTTTTCTCAGTCAAAACATTCTTTTCTCTCTTATCGGTTTTGCACACGACCTTCCTTTTGTGTTGAGGGTTTTACGAGTACATGCAGTACTTTGCAGCGGGTTAGCGCTGGTCCCCCTTTCTCTAGCCCCGTCCTCCTTGGAGAAGACGGGCTGGGTGGGGGAATAAGAGGACAGGTCAGCCAAGCAGCGTTCGTGGCCCGTCCAGAGTTATACGGGGGCTTCCTTAGGGTTGTGTTCTACGAAATCCCTGTCGTGAAGGCTAAGGCAAACAGGCATCAGGCAGCGGCTGAAAGGGCGCCCAACAGACGCGAGCAGGAGAAAAACATCTCCAGACACTCCCGTGGGAGTTGCAGTGTGACGGCACCCGCAGGGCGCTGTGCTGGTAGCGTGGCACAGTCTGAGACGCTACGCTCGATGGACGGCCACTCTCTGGCAGGGACAGCCCTCTTCCCCCCCATCCCCAGTAGCCAGTTCCCTTGCGCCGGAAAGTGCGGGAAGCGTTCATGGAGGGCCCAAATGGGTGCAAACACCGTAGCCTGCTTTTGGTGTAAGTCCCCCTCTTACAGCCAGCTGCCTGAGGGCCACCAGCCACGCAAGGAGCAGGTCCCTGATGAACTGTTTTCTGCTTCCAGTCTTGGCAGCCTAAGTCTGGATCACTCCCGTTTACACATTTGCACCACTTATGTGCCTTAGCTGGAAAAAGGGTGGGCGAGTCCCCAAACCCTAAGCTGTTGGCTTCTCTTTTCACTCTGAAGGTAGTCGCTTGGTTTAAAATAAAGAAGGCGCCCGTTTCTGCTTCCTCTCTCTCTCTCTCTACTCAGGCTCATTCCGGCCAGAGACGTACGTATCCATGGTTTTCTGAAGAACTACCGCTGTTTGAAAGATTCTGAGTGCAATGTCCATGTGGTTTTTTTTTACTCCTGACGACAAATCCAAGTTTATCACAGAGCTTGGAAATGATTCATTGCAAAAAATACTTTTGCTCTAATTTGACAGATTTCTGGCAACAGATTTAAAAGTCATTGTATTAATCAGTTGCATGCCAAATGCTATTTTCCTGTTACTAATTATGGCACTTTTCAGCTATTTATAATGATACTTTAAGGTTGAACTATTCAGTCCATTAACAAAGTCTTAATGTTTTAAGGTCCACAAGGTAATTTCCTTAATACTTTAATGTTAACATTTCCAAGCTCTGGCTTTGTCATTTTGGACGGTCAAGAAGCAAGTTTTGCGCCAAAGGGAAGCAGCAGAACTTTAACCCGCTAAGCATACACCTGTCACCCCCTTGCTTTTCTTAAGGGTGCCCTTTCCCCCTCGTCTCAGGCCTGGCAAACCATCCGACGGCACTCGTCGTTAAGTTTAGCTCCTCTCCTCCAACCCCATTGTGATTCCTCAGCTCAGCCATCGCCAAATCAAAAAAGCACAGCCTGGAAAGAAGGCACAGACGGGGATGCTGTCCGTGCGCAGTGGCTCTTGCGCTCCTGGGGCGTCACGCGAGAAGGCAAGGCGCGACGGTACCGTCTACCATCCTTAACAGGCCGTCCAAGGCGGAAGGCCTCGGAACCTAAATCGCTAGACTGGCCGGTAAAACCAAAAAGGGTCAAAAGGAAGGCAACGCTTGCTTGCCACCCGGCTGAGCCCTCTGGAGAAAAGAGAACGGGAAGACCGAGGGGGACCTTGTCTCAGCCTTAGCTGGAATAAGGGCACGTGAAAGATCCTGGAATCTACTTTTCCCATCCCCGTAAAGAACACACATGGATTCTCGGAAGCCGAGGAAGAAGGAACCAGACACCGAAAGCTGCCTTACTCTCCCCCCACCTCCGTGGGGCCAGGGGGTCCTCCTTGGCCCCATCCCTGACTGGCTCTCTATCCAACAAACCCGGCAGGCCGAGGGCCTTTCTCTCTGGACGCCCAGCGTTGTGTGCCTTGGGGTGGAAGTGACCCAGCCTGGCAGGGCGGCTTGCTTTCTCTCCGCTGTTGTGTGGACAGGAGGACCCTGCGAGCACCACCCGCGCTCTCCTCAAACCCGGCAGGGCTGCGGTGACCTTAAAGACTCCAGCAGGGTCCGGCTCAAGGGCGCTTGGCGGTGCGCGCAGGACCTCCGTCTTGTTCCGAAGCGCCACCCACCTCACACTGGTTTCCAAGTCTGTCTTCTCGGCAAACGGCAGGCCCGCCCGCTCCGAGCTTTTCAGACTCAGTGGAAATCTGGAGGTTTCCTTTCCCTTGGGGAAGTCCACAGCCGCCTCCTAAGCTGCTTTGGGAACCCCTAAGGCTTTGGAGGGCCGTCTTTCTCATTGCTTGCTCTCGGCTTCCTCAGAGCAAGTCCTTGGTGAAGACAAGACAAGACATTTTCCAATTAACTTTAGAAGTGCCTAAAACAAGGAGTCGGTGCTGATCTGGCTCAGGAATCAAGCCCCCTTCTCCAGCCTCCCACCCAGGCCGGGTCTGGGCGCTTCTCTCCCTGGTCCGGGAAGGGCTTTCGTCCCAAAGAGGCTGTTCATTCCCACAATCCCCACGGGCCACCACAACCCACAGATAATCAAAAGTCCACAGTCGACACTCGCACAACCTGCAAAATCTAAGTCGCATTTGTCTTGGAAACATGATTGCAAACCCCAGCGTTTTAACAATACTTCCACTGAGTCCTTTTGTTCGTACGAGCAAACCTGTCGTTAACAAAGCCGAAAGGTGGGACTCTCTGGGACGGGGCTCCGTCCTCGTGCTTGGATCTTGCCCTCAGGGAGTGAGGAGGAAATGCCTACGGCAGGTGGCTGGGTCCGGGGCTGAGCCTTTCGCAACAGTGCCACAGGAGGAAATGCCTACGGCAGGTGGCTGGGCCCGGGCTGAGCCTTTCGCAACAGTGCCAACCTTAATCGCTCAGGGTAAACTGAAAGGAGCAGCAGCCGCCCGCCTGCCCGCCCAGCCTCCCCTCCCCAGGCTGAGTCGCAGATGTCTGTGGGTCGCTCGGAGCCTCGCGGCAGACCTGCCCGCCCCAGGCGACGGCTTCAGGTGGGGTGAGAGGCTTCCTCCCAGGCGGCACCAACAAACCCACCTTTGCCCAGGATCCAGACTTCGCCAGCGCCAACTAAGAAACAAAGTCCCCCCCCCCCCCCCTTCACGGGCAAAACAAAACGACCACCACCC